ACCGGATATCCAAAATTGGATATCCGGTATTCCGTTTCTCCAGAGTCATGCCCAGCACCTAACCTGCGAACGGGCATACTCTGGGTACGAGATTGATTCGGAAGTTTCGCATCAAATTATCGAAATTCGTTATGAAATTCCGAACCAAGTTCGCAAATTGCAAACGATTTTGGCGATAAATTTTAAAAACTAAACTTGTATTAAACTTATTATAATTTTAAACCTGAAATTATTATTATTATGATATTATTTATTATTAAATGAATGAGTTTAATACAATAAGTTTAGTTTTTAAAATTTACCGCCAAAATCGTTTGCAATTTGCGAACTTGGTTCGGAATTTCATAACGAATTTCGATAATTTGATGCGAAACTTCCAAAATTTGATTGGCCGGTTTCCAATCAACTTGATGATCTCGTGTTTATAGTTCCCAAATTCCCAACCAACCTCGCAACTGGCGCGGCCAAAGTTTTGTGAAATCAACTGTAACAGAGTAAAGTAAATATAACAGGAAATAGATGCACAGGCGGCCCAATCTCTGAATGGTCTATATATTTTGAACATTTTTACGGAATATTTAACCGTTATAATATTTAGTAACGACAAAAGGTATCGTTCAGTGTCAGTATTTAATACGACCGTTCAACCACGACGAAAAGTAAAGCAATCGCATCAACTAAACTCAGAAACGCAACAAATGCATTCTATTAACAAGTTAGATATATTTTTTACATACATATATTGTTAATATTTTTTAATTATTTCGTTATTAAATATTATAACGGTTAAATATTCAGTATAAATATTCAAAATATATAGACCATTTAGAGATTAGATGTGTCAGCCGTCACCGAGGCGACCGCTGGTATAAATACAAGTGCTGCAAATACTATAAGAAAAGCTATAACTAATGTTATAAATATACAATTAGAAATTGTTATAATTAATGTTTTAAGGTGCAATGTTATACGACGCTGCAACGATGGTACCCTGCGAGCAGAGCCTTATTTTCGTTTCTTTGGCGAGGGGGAAAGGAGAAAATAAGGCTCTGCAGTATTCGTGTTTTGCTTCGTCCAAGATTCTGGACGAAGCAGACCTGTTTAACCAGTTTATCCGGTATTTAATGCGCGCGGCTACAGTTTGACGGTGAACCGATG